GGAAGTATGAGAAGGCGCTGCCAAGCTAAGCTGTCATTGATAGTCACGGGTTACACACTCGGTATTAAGTCTAAAACTATAAACAAAATAACCAATTTAACAAATTTGGAAAACACGCTGCATGTTCTGAAATCTTCAAAGAGGGAGTCATCCTCTTATCTAGCACAAAATCAGTGTAAAACTCATTTATAGGGTTAATTTCGTCCTTCATCTGAATTGATAAAACAGTAAATCAACATCTGTTGAAAGGGAGTCTATTGAGCGCATGGACTGGCCAGCTCGCTAACCTGGCTTAAATCCAATAGAACACATGTGGAATGAGCTGCAGGTTAGAATTTCAGCTCGTGAGCTGCAACCCAGAATCATCCAGCAGCTTGGAGTGATGTTGGTCCAAGAATGGGCAGCCATACCCGTTAGAACGATCAGAATCCTAATAGGAAGTATGAGAAGGCGCTGCCAAGCTAAGCTGTCATTGATAGTCACGGGTTACACACTCGGTATTAAGTCTAAAACTATAAACAAAATAACCAATTTAACAAATTTGGAAAACACGCTGCATGTTCTGAAATCTTCAAAGAGGGAGTCATCCTCTTATCTAGCACAAAATCAGTGTAAAACTCATTTATAGGGTTAATTTCGTCCTTCATCTGAATTGATAAAACAGTAAATCAACATCTTAAACCTTTCGCACGGTGTTGATAAAATTATCCCAAAAATATTCACACTCAAACATAGGGTGCTTAACAAAAGTTGAGTAGTATACATTAAACATGCTAAAAGTATGGAAAGCCATGGCTGTCTAATATTGTTCTTTTTCAATTTATGTAACCATTTGGATAATATATGAGTTCACTTCAACTATATATGACTTGAAAACACCTTCTTATTTATTTAACCGGAATCCATTATATTAATCCACAGTTACAATATATGAAACCATACTGTCAGTGTATGAAACCGAGTTAGCAATATAAAAGTTGATTTACTCAATATATGATTCCAATTCTTCAATATATTGTACCAAAGTAGCCATGTATGAAACCAGATGTCCTTATATGAAACCGAATTATCAATATATTAATTCATTTTTCAATATATGAAACCAATGTATCAATTTATGAAACCAAAGTAGAAATATATAAGTTGGTTATTACATTATATGATACCAATTCTTCAATATATGGTACCAAAGTAGCCATATATGGAACCAGATGTCCTGATATGAAACCGAATTATCAATATATTAATTCATTTTTACAATATATGAAACCAATTTATCAATGTATGGAACCAAAGTAGCAATATATGAGTTGGTTATTACATTATATGATACTAATTCTTCAAAATATGGTACCAAAATAGCCATGTATGGAACCAGATGCCCTTATATGAAACCGAGTTATCAATATATTATGTCCTTTTACAATATGTGAAACCATTTTATTAATGTATGGAACCAAAGTAGCAGTATATAAGTTGATAGCAATTTTCATTATATGGAACCAAAATAGCCTATTTTCATGTCAACAAGTCAAAGGCCGGGGTCACTGGGTTCTGTTACTACAATGCATACACTTTTTCATGAAATCAATTATTATTTGACTGATTATATTTTTATTTTTAAACTTTGTGAGTAGATTAACCTTGATGTGTCCTACTGGCCATGCCCATTTTTGATCAAAGGTAAAGGTCGAGATGAACTTATTTCTTAAATATGTTTTTGTTAATGGTCAGTACGACTCAATAGCTTAAATTATGACATACAACTCGTACATATATAACGATAAGTTTTGCCTGCCCAGCTTATTTGAAGTGAATGTGACGTTAAATTCAAATATTTCCTTATTTAGAAAATGTGCAGTTTGCAATCAGTGAAGCACGCTGGTCTTTTAACAGTTCAACAAGGAATATTGACGCGAAACTGTAATACCGGTGCAAGGATAGAATACAGTCTTTAAAAAAAGTCCCGTCAATATAATGACATTTTGGTTCAATATATTGCTACTTTGGTATCATATATTGAAGAACTGGTATCATATAATGTGATAATCAACTTATATATTGATACTTTGGTTCAATACATGGATGAAATGGTTTCATATATTGTTAAAATGAATTAATATATTGATATTTCGGTTTCATATAAGGACACCTGGTTCCATGCATTAATACTTTGGTTCCATATATTGAATAATTGGTATCATATATTGTGATAATCAACTTATATATTGAAAATTCGGCTCCATATATTTTAAAAATGAATAAATATATTGATAATTCGGTTTCATTTAAGGACATCTGGTTCCATACATGGCTACTTTGGTACAATATATTGAAGAATTGGAATCAACTTGAGAAAATCAACTTATATATTGCTTACTCGGTTTCATACACTGAGAGTATGGTTTCATATATTGTAACTGTGGATTAATATAATGGATTCCGGTTAAATAAGAAGGTGTTTTCAAGTCATATATAGTCGAAGTGAACTTATATATTATCCAAATGGTTAAATAAATTGAAAAAGAACAATAACAGACAGCCATGGCTTTCCATATAAAAGAATAGATAGATATATACTTGATGTTCTTATATTATTACTTTTCAATAATTTATTGTCAACAACAGATATAAACTAAACCATTTTGTATGTCTCAAAATTTAATGTGGTTTTTGTAGAAATTGTTGAAAATCGCATTAGGTAGTTAACAATTTAAGTGTCACGCACTGTTTTGATGTATCAATAGTGTTTTGTTATATGTAATTCCAAAATGATTACACAGTCCCGCGCGTGACATTTTCCAGAAAGGATGACCAATAATCTGTGAAGTTCATTAACCAAGAATTTGCTGAAATTTTGTTATGGATGTGACCTTCTTTGAATTTGGTACAGCCGATACAAAGTTTAAGGGATATAATTATGAACACAGAGCTTGATGAGACTTACCTGACTCTATACCGGTGACAAAGACTGGTCACATGTGACTCCCAACCGGTTAAGAGTTATATGTTTTTATATGATCTTTTATCATTTATGAATAATCAAGTTGTTCATGCTTTTAGTGAAACTTTGTATCTTTTTAAGTTGCATGCCTATAAATATTTAAACAAACTTGAAAAAAATCAAATTTATAAGAAAATGTTTAATTCCATGGAAACTTGTTTGAATGTGAAAGCATTCACGATGTATTTTCCACTAGCAAAATATAACAGACTACATAATGTAAGTCACACTAAATCTCTGCTATCCAACTTTTCTCTTTTAAAAGAAGCAAAAGAATTATATCTTGACATGTTATAGGTAATTTAATTGGGAAAATAAATACATTTTTTGTAAACTTTAGATTATTGTATAAGGTAGAACAATAGTAATATTTCACAAGGTAGAACGATACATTTTTTACTTCAATATATAACACTAACCTATACATGTGCTGCTTTAAAAACACATTTTCACTTTCAGCAACAGTATCTACATGTATACGAATAATCAGTGTGAATTATTTATTAACAACGTTTAGCAATAGTTATTATATGATCTAAATATAACTGCAATCTCATTGGTCCAAACAGTAGTCAACAGAACATTTTATAAAATCATATTTACTGGGTGTAGTATCATATTCACTGGCTGAATTGGATTTTCCCAGTCTAAAAATAGATTGAGACTCATATTCAATGATCATACACCGTAGACTGTTAATTACGCGTGTTAATTAAAATATAATTGTTGCTTTTCTTTCTTTATGGCATATTTCTCGATTAAAATATCAATACTTTACTATCATACTTAAGGGTTACACCGCAATAATGAGTATAAACTTGAATTATTTTTGTATGCGCAGCGTTCGCGTAGTCGTTGCACGCCTAACACGTGCGTCTTTCTTCCCGCGCTTCAACGAGGCAAAATTTGTACATGTATAATTATAAGGTTGCACTTTTGTGATTTTTTTAATTTCTTAGCCTATTCATATAATAAAACAATTATTGACTAGTGAACCATTGAATATGATGTGATATTCACCGGCAGAAAGTCATATTGACCTCGGCTATCGCCTCGGTCAATATGTCATCTGCCGGTGAATATCACATCATATTCAATGGCTCACTAGTCAATAATTGTATAATATTGTATTGTTATGACTTGTGTACAGTATTGCACGCATCATGGATACAAAAGCAAATCAACGATTGCCCCCCCCCCCCCCTTCAGCGACATTCGATACTTCGTATGCAAGCATTTCTAACCGGTCTGACGTAATATTTATAAAACTTTCAAATTATTGTCTTTGTTAATAAAAATATCAAATATCAGTTTCACATTTACGCCAAAATATCATCACATTTTCTTTTCTTTTTCTGTCTTTGAATATCACTAAATATTAAAATACGTTATAAAGATTATGATTTATTTTATTTTTTCTCAATATTCTTGATATATTAAGACATATATTCAAAATGGTTTGTCAATTCACTATCATATACTATTTCAGAAAGAGTAAAACCATATTTCTGTTCGTTGTATTTATAATAAATTAATGTTTCCAGTATTGGCAGTTTGTTTGAATGCCACAATTAATTATTCTTAATATTATTTTTTTTGGAAGTAAGCGATTGCAGCTGGTAATTTAAGATTTGTAAAGGGGTTTCTATTTTATATGTCTATATCTTTTTATGAATGTATTTAGTATCCAAAGGCGTTGTATCTAAAATTATTGAGAAAAAATGTGTGATTATTTCTATCATAATATGAACATACAAGTAAATAACAGCTGCCGAGATTTGTAAGCCGAGATTTGTAACGCTACAAACGCAAAATGTTTTAAGAAAGCTGCAGAATATTAAAGAGAAAGCATTACAAAATATATCGGTTGCAATGTACTGGGACAGACTTGAAAACACAATAAATATTTTATCCTTAACCTTGACGATAGAATTGTTCATATGCTTACACAAAAACATACATCTCAACAAACATACTAATATAATTCGAAACTTACCATTCTAGACGTTAAGTGCAATTCCATAATTTTAGGCGTATCAAAAATGAATTTAAGACCTCCATTTCACTGATATATGTAAATCTTACATCATTTACCAGTCAACATTTGCAAACTCTGTGCATTACAATTCAACCTTACAATCCAATGACAAATATAGTAAAAATGAAACAGACGCAATTTATCTTTCATACTATGTAAAGTATTATATTTATAGAACTTTATTCGATTTCTTGTCTTTGCGGCAAATTATAACGCACATTTGGTGTTTTATCTAACCGTAGCTTGCAGAGAGTATTGATTTTAAGTTTCCCTGAATTCAAGCTTCCAGCAGATGAGTCCTACGGGATGAGATGATTTACTAGTTATGTTGATAAAAGTATCGGTAATGTCGTCATTCTCTACATGCTAGCATATAGGGATATGAAATAAATGTAGGGTTATACCATATAATTGCTGGTAAGGATATATGATATAATTATGGTCTAAATTTAATTATTTGACCTGCATTAGTATAATTGTATATTAATAAACATTTAAGTGTTCGGTTGTACCGTATAACTGTTGTATAAATGTATTATATATTGTATGGGGTATATTCAGTTTAACATGTACGCTGGTAAGATTATATGTTATATATGGTATGAAATATTGTGTTTAGTATTATTATTATAAATCTAATACATTTTCAAAATAACATAATCATTTCATAAAGTATATGTAATGTGTTCTATATTTAGTAACAAATATATTTGTATGATTGTATGAATAATATGGTATACACTCTTGTATAAAGCAAATAAATGAATTCTTTGATAGGGGGTATATTTATATGTATTGTTTGAAATATAATGGTGTCTTGTTTCAAGTTACTTAAAAATGAATAAAGAATGTGATATTTATTCCATTTTAAAAACACATATTTTAAAGGATGATATATAAAAAAGGTTCTTCCAAGATACCGTATATCCCAATTGCTTTATTGAATATCTAATTCAAATAGTTATCGTACAGTTTAAGTAATATATATCTTTTTTGTTGATAATATATGGTATAAATACTGAAATGCATTGTTGACAGACACATTTGTGGTGAAAATATATGGTATGTATGCACGGTTGGCGTGTTGTACATTTGTAGTGCTTTATATTTATGTAAATACTTAAATACAGGTTAATCGTGTACTAAATTTTATTTGTGAAAATTATAGAATACAGGGTTCACGTGTACCACATATGTAGAGTTTTATATTGTATGTATTATTGAATACAGGGTTGATGTGTGCTACATTTGTAGAGCTTATATTGTTTGTACTATTGAATTCAGGGTTGATGTGTACTATATTTGTAGAGCTTTATATTGTATGTTTTATTGAATACAGGGTTGATGTGTACTATATTTCTAGAGCTTTAAATTGTATGCAGTATTGAATACAGGGTTGATGTGTACTATATTTGAAGAGCTTTATATTGAATGCATTATTGAATACAGGGTTGATGTGTACTACATTTGTAGAGCTTATATTGTTTGTACTATTGAATTCACGGATTGATGTGTACTATATTTGTAGAGCTTTATATTGTATGCAGTATTTAATACACGGTTGATGTGTACTATATTTGAAGAGCTTTCTATTGTATGCATTATTGAATATAGGGTTGATGTGTACTACATTTGTAGAGCTTATATTGTTTGTACTATTGAATTCAGGGTTGATGTGTACTATATTTGTAGAGCTTTATATTGTATGTATTTTTGAATACAGGGTTGATGTGTACTATATTTGTAGAGTTTTATATTGTATGCATTATTGAATACAGGGTTTGATGTGTACTATAATTGAAGAGCTTTATATTGTATGCAGTATTGAATACATGGTTGATGTGTACTATATTTTTAGAGCTTTATATTGTATGCAGTATTGAATACATGGTTGATGTGTACTACATTTGTAGAGCTTTATATTGTATGCATTATTGAATACAGGGTTAGATGTGTACTATATTTGAAGAGCATATATTGTATGTATTATAGAATACAGGGTTGATGTGTACTATATTTGTAGAGCTTTATATCGTTATGTATTATTGAATTCAAGGTTGGTGTAAACTACATTTGTAGATCTTTATATTGTATGCATTATTGAATACAGGGTTGATTTGTACTATATTTGTAGAGCTTCGTATTGTATGCATTATTGAATACAGTGTTGATGTGTACTATATTTGTAGAGCTTTATATTGTATGTTTTATATAATACAGGGTTGATGTGTACTATATTTGTAGAGCCTTAAATTGTATGCATTATTGAATTCAGGGTTGATGTGTACTATATTTGTAGAGCTTTATATTGTATGCATTATTGAATACTGGGTTGATGTGTACTACATTTGTAGAGTTTTATATTGTATGCATTATTGAATACAGGGTTGATGTGTACTACATTTGTAGAGCATAAATTGTAAGTATTATAGAATACAGGGTTGATGTGTACTATATTTGCAGAGCTTTATATCGTAATGTATTATTGAATTCAAGGTTGTTGTGTACTACATTTGTAGATCTTTATATTGTATGTATTATTGAGTGTAGTAATTTGTAGATTGTATAAATTATTGAAAACATATAACGATCAACCAAATCTATGTTGTTGATATTTATTTAGATCAAACGAAGAAAAATACAAAGAAAACGAAGGCAGCCGTATATCAAAAGTTTGTACTGTTCGGTTTACGGAGTACAAGTTTCATGCTAACATGTTGCTTGTCCACATATGATGTATCTATTATAGCACAGACCTCCTCTAGTGACAAGCCAGCAACTTTATGTCTGTCTACAGCGAGTATAGCCATACCAACCTGAAAACCGGTTATTTAAGTTAGAGAATACCATGGCAATAATCACATTAACACATCACGCTGCAAACATTTTAATTTTGACAGTTTTTTCACTGATAAGTATCTATACTTATTTTTATTTTGCAAAAGGAACAGAGATAGATATGTCTAAATATGAAAGGCATATATTTATAATGTTAGATACAAAACAAACTTAATCATTATTTATTCAATTGCATGTTTTTTTATCTAAGCATTTGCACATGCTACAAAAGATTTGCCAACTATCACTTGCAACTATACAGAGCCAAGCAAGCCGCATCATTAATGTGATCAGACCAGTTACTACACTGTTGGCTGATTGAATTTAGCATTTTGATAATAGTATTAGTTCCATAGTCAAGGCATACAAATTTAGCCGGTTATGTGTTAAGGAGTACCTGTATATCGCAATCATCATTAGCAGCCCCATCTGGGTGTATTTTATGTATCTTCACCTCTGTCACGCCTCCAACCATTTCCTCAACAAAGTCAATACCTGACATTAACCAAGTGAATGAACAAAGTTAGTGTTAGTAACAGAATATCAGATCACTTGAGACTCAATTTAATACGCTTATCTAATAAAAGTGAGTTATTTCAAATGGATAAAATGTAATTAATTTTTGAAAAGCATTACAGGTATCATTTCTGAGCACAAATAGGTGATATACTTTATCATATAAATACAATTTTTAGAACATATAAATGTGTTAGATGTTTAAAAATTTGTGTTTTAGATAATTATTAATGTTTATATTTTGATTTTTTTGAGCATCATATGAATAAAAGGTGACTTAATACCGATAGATTTTTTAGTTTTTGAAAGATGAACTATGACACTTCCTGGGGGTTTCTCGACTTCACCAGATCCATGAGATCCACTATCACTGAAACATACAAATAACATTACAGTACATACAAAATGTGTAGAACAAGAAAATTAAGTTATGATTGAGTAACATTGTAAAGTTAACTGTATGATAAGGAAAACTTGCTAAAGAACACTTTAAAGCAACCATTTTCTGATAAACAATTAACATCGTAACCCCCCCCCCCCCGGAAAATGGTCGGAACTTTCACTTTTGAATTAGTAAAATCTCCGTCTTGCGGGTGAAAACTATAGTTGTTAGGTTGTATTCTTAAATACCAATAAACTATTTACTCTGTACAGGTAATCTAATAGTTATGACCATACCATGGCCATGACTTACTGGTATGTAGATTGTATCTCCCTTTAATTCATGAATTGTATATTTTAATTATTTTTATATCAAATTCTATAATTATCTTTTCATCAACAATATATCCTTCCAGTGATTTATACTTATTATAATAATTATTTATCAATGTAATAATCAAATCGATACATTATTTTTATGATTATAAGTATAACATTCTAATATTAATTGTGGATAAGAATCATCTATTTCTTGCAAATGATAAAATGGTTGTTATGGGTAACACGATGTTGTAGATAACTCTGACAGCGTCTGATTTTGAAGTCCTCTAAACGAGGATCACACATGTAACAAATCAGTAGGAATTTGTCAAATTTTGTATTTTATGTACGAAACAGCAAGAATACCGAGATCTATATATTACGAAATAAAATTCAATGTGAAAAAAGAAGAAAAAAGGTTGTATCCTTGTAAATAAAACCAGTGCAATTTCGGTTCAGATGAACGGAAACAATTGGACAGTAAAACAAGACACACTTTCCAGGTTATGATTTTATCTCCCACACATTACTTGACGCGGACAATTTGGGTTTTACAAATGATTGGAGTATAGAACTTTCTAAACTTTACTAATATAGACAATGAATAAAGAGAATAATATATTTGCAGTCTAACAGAAATTTGATAAATGGAAACAAGAAATAAAGTTGACAATGACATCTATTGTCTAGCATAGTAAGTGGCACACATTTATATGGATTAGCTTTACCGTAAGTGGCACATATTTACATGGATTAGCTGTAAAGTAAGTGGCACATATTTACATGGATTAGCTTTACGTAAGCGGTACATATTTACGTGGATAAGCTGTAAAGTAAGTGGCACATATTTCCATGGGTTAGCTGTACCGTAAGCGGCACATATTTACATGGATTAGCTGTAAAGTAAGTGGCATATATTATCATGGATTAGCTTTACGTAAGCGGTACATATTTACGTGGATAAGCTGTAAAGTAAGTGGCACATATTTCCATGGGTTAGCTGTACCGTAAGCGGCACATATTTACATGGATTAGCTGTACCGTAAGCGGCACATATTTACATGGATTAGCTGTACCGAACATTCTATAAACTTTTTTTATTTAACAAAACCGTGACACGTGTCAAGTAAACGAACACCTACCTGAAAGCAGCTATACAAGAACCTTCTTCTAAATGTTCAAGGTCAAGGTATTGAAATTCGTCTAGTGCTGATTTTTCTTCTGTTATACGTCCCTACAAGTAACAAATGCATACACAATACTAGTGAGTCCAAAATTTTAAGTGGAAAATTTTCTTCCAGATTTTTGTTTGTAACTAATAGAGCTTCGGTTCGATTCCTTTTCCTGATTTTGAACTCTCCAATTTGATCTATTTATACAATTGTAAAGGAAAGGTGGCATTTTAGTAATTATAACATTATATATATTAGATTAAGTTTACATTTTTTTGAAATTTAGAGCATAGCTGGAATAAATGCATTCAATGTTTTGTATTGAGAAATAAAGCATCTAAAAATTTTATCCACGTCCGCTCATACAGGTCAGAAACCGTAGATTGGATTTTCGCCTCATAATGCGAAAGCTAGACACGATTAGTGGGTATATTATCGTGCCTTCGACTTTTCAGTGGCGAAGACACAAAGACACGAAATGGCAGAAATCAGCCACCATAAGTAATGATTTTGGCGGTAATTGATAATGTCAGCAGTCTCCCGAATATCTTTATAATATAAAGGCACGTGAGTTATATTGCACGCCTGATATTCATGCATTTAAATATACTTATTCAAAACACGTCTATTTGTATTTTATTCTAATTTTCAACACTATTAATCAGTTTACATTTCTTAACTATACCGTGTGTCAAGTCACATCTGACACGCGTTTAGTTAGTTTACATTTGGTATACTCAATTCACAATTGGCACATTTGATCAAACCAATTTTATGCAATGTTTGTTAAATAATTGATTAACTAAGACATGTCTCACCTGCCGTTGCGGGGATGTGAATCTTTTCGGTGAAGTTAGTTTCACTTTAGATTCTTCTACATTTTCCTTCATTACACTAACGACATCTCTCTGTTTGTTTGATCGAGCCATTGTCTTGATATGAAAATGTCCATCTTCCGCTATATCACCGATAAACCAACATATCTTATATGTATACATGATATAAATTAATCAAGTTTATATATCTACCAAAGAATGTGTACATTTTATATACCAGAAAAGAACTTGATTAAAATTTGCAGCTGTTTATATATAGAAATACTTATTGATCTAAGACTTAAACATAACATATTACTTTAAAAGAAATGAAAATCATATGACTTTAGAACTTGTTTTTTCATTTCAAATGGGACTTTCTTTAAATACACAAACTTTATGGTGACAATATACAAATTTGTATTTGTTTTAATTTTATATTGACATTTTGTTTTCTTATTGTACATCATACTGAATTATGCAATAGATTTAATGTTGATTTGAATGTGTCATGCTTTTGATTGTCTCTTGTGTTGAAAAATAAGATCTATATAAAAAATACAGTTACAAAAAGACATGTATAATAAAGGATATTTAAAATCCATGCTCCGAAATGTAAAAAATAACAAACATATTTTTCAAAACGTTAAAAATTTAATACACAAAAATCTTTAAAAAATGATAAGTATATTCTTTATCAGCTGAAACAAAAGTTTAAAATCAATAAAGATGAGAAAATGCACTATTCTGTTTTTTTTCTTAAGGCTTTGAATGGGCAATTATAACCCAAATATAATAGATATGCAATTCCCATATTTAAAATTATAATATTTGAATTTAATTCAAACTTGTTTTATATAAATAATCAGATCAGGTAAACTGTCTTAGACATTTAAACTTAGTGCGTCTCTTACTTGATAACTCGACACCAGAATTGACAAAACACGATTGGATAAATATATGCATTAATTAAGAAATAGCTTGGCCAGGCACATCTTTGCAATATTATGTAGTTTCATTTTAGATAAAAATGTTTGCCATATTTGACGTCATATCATGACGTCATGCGAGATATGCAACGGCATTACTTCAAATAATTCTTTATCAGTAATTTTTGAGTTGTCGCACTCAGATATATTTGAAACACCTATTCGCCTCTATACTTATAACTAGATTCGTGATTGTTTAACATGTTTAACTGTTCGATATAAATAAAGAACTAGATACGACTGCTAATTCTTACAATTTAAGCCATTTTGGTGCTGAATGGAAAGCGGCTCTGTAAACCGGATGTGTCTCTGCTTGCGTTGCACATGCGCATTGCTTCTAGTGATTCTAGCTTTACGTTTTATATTGTTACCCTTAATATATTTCCTATTTGATACTGTAAAGAATTAAGGAAAACAGTGATAATATCAAAACATGCAAGGGCGGAAGTGGTTTGAAACAGGGAATTTCAGACGACAAATATTAAAGACGACGACAACGACAACAAAAACAACGACAGCAACAACAATAGACAGACAAGACGTAATATACCTTCACCAGAATGGAGGCTTATATCGGCACTTTGAACTTCGGATGGTGTTTCTGGATGCAAAGCAAAGTAATTTCAATATTAGCATGAGAAATTGTGCTACAGAAAAAGATTATCAGCCAAATAACAGGCATTATCTCATCTTTATTTAAATGAATATAAAAGCATGATTATTACAATTTTAATAAAAAGTGTTTTTGTTTTTTCATTAAAAATGTTCAGTTAGTGTAGACAAACAGAATCACTTCAATAACATAGTTCCATTTTCAATATCACTTTGGCTCTATAACTCATGAATATGATATAATGAATATGATATAATGTAATAGAAACTGTTTACATGTCTTTCAAAAGCGTCGAAATATTTGGCGCACTGGTTGCTATGCTATTTTGAAACTGATGACATTGAATATTGGTTATATTAAAAATAAACAACATAAAAATTCATATGGAATAGTTCAGAATATTACACAACTTTATACAATCACTACAAAAAAGATGATGTTAACGCGTTCAATTAAAACAAAAGGTTATCTGAAACAACTTGTAGTTTAAGTACTTCTGGATCACTCGAAACATATATTTGTTTTCATGCAACTCAACTTTTTAAAACTGCATATCTACACAGGAAAAATAAAATCATATCATTTTGTTTTTATTATCGAGTTATGATGAAAAACTGAAAATGATTCTGATTGCATTACTGTATGATTTATTGTACGAAATATGATACGATTTTATCTAAACATGATAAATTAAGACATTTATTTACGATTAAATAAGTACTTTATAATTATTACATTGCCATAACGATAAATCATAGAGATTGGTTGTTTTTTGCGTGTCATTTATATACAGGATATTTGTTTAGTTCAGTGTAAGATCGGAATATATTTCGATCTTACACTAAACTAAACTTATTTTCTTTTTATTATTTGCAAAGAAACGTTTCAAAAGATACTAAATAAAAAGCGCGCCAAATAATAATTCTTGTTTGTGTACAATGTACTTGTCTTATTATATTGAAAATGTGTCTTGATTATTGAACAATTTTGTAAAAAATGTCATTTATTTTAACTTTATAAAAAGATGTAAGATGCTGAATCCAAAAATCCAGATGATTTAAGTGAAATAAAAAGTTACAACATAGAAATTTATCAAAATTGTCTGGCAATCATTGAATTTTTTCTTCTCTCTTTTATTGATAAGAAAAAGGTTTGCATTTGAAAATTGAGCTACGAATATTTTTGTGTGTATCACATGTTAGTGTTAAAAGTAACAGGCTTTGTCAATCCTTTTGTCAACGTTATACATATCTTATATTTATCTGTTTCACTATGTATTAATAATAAATGAATCGCTAATTTCAGAAGTTTTATAGTCAATGAAATGTCAATTATACTTGTTATATTCATGTATTTTGCCCGGTGGATTAGTTTTGGCATTAGTGATTATTAAATGACAGTAAAGACGTCTTCAGTACATCTCCATACAAACATTTTGGGGAAAATATCGAGGGAAATCTTATTATCAGGAATTCGTATCCACCGTCAGAGCACTCACATAGACAGAGAGCTAGATCGATCGACAAATCTAGTAAGTAAATTGTATAAAAGATAGGCAATTATTACAGACGGTGTCATGTAAAGGCTCCAAGAAAGAACAATAGTCTGAGATGAAATCAATGCAGACAGAATTGTTCTTCTATGAGATAGTAATGTAAAATATTAAAGCAAATCGCGGCAACTGTTTAGTGTTGGCATAATGTTTATTCTTATTTTAAAATCTAAAACATAAATAATATTTTAAAATGATCAAAGAAATTTAGTGTATCACTTCAGAAAATACCATATTTCTACCGCCCTTCCGCCTACGCCAAAAACACAGTTTATAAAGTAAATAAATCATTACAAACTTTAAGTGACCAAACAAAAGTACGAATGTATAAATAAATAAAGGGACAGAAGAACAGGCGAACGAACGGACGTTCTACCACTACAGACGGGAGGACGTAGTGGCGGATTATTTGGTATTTCTTTATTTCCTTCTAAGGTGCATTATTTCAGACAAGAGGGGGTACCTGAGAAGAACCACATAATTATAATCCGTAAACAATCCCGATAGTATTCCCACACCTACATGAACAATGCAAGTCACTGTTTTTTTTTCCTTTAGAGTTATCTAACAAATGAAATCATTACTTGAGATCACATTATCTAACATTTTGTTGCAGACAACATAGAAACCTGTATAAATGTATTAAATGGTTTATATATACGAAAGGAAATGACATATCCATGACATTACTGCTGTCTGCAGACGACCACATAATATACTATATAAAGAGAGGTACTATACCTATCTCAGTCGTAATAAGTTTTCTTCGTGGTTTTTTCTGTGGTTTGTGGTTCAGTGGAAGATGTAGTTTCATAGATAATTTCTGGTAAGCTTCCTCTATCTCAAAATGGTTCACCATGTTGTCAAACTGACCTTTGTCATGTGAATAAATAACTCCTCTACAAATTCAGAAATTTGTTGATTTAATTAGATACACTAAGATGCTTTGTGTTTTAAAATACATTTATAAAATATGCATATTCAAAATCAGATTCCAAGTTATTTATGGCTTGAATTTAGCGTATAAAATGGAATGAACCTGATGTGTAAAATAGGTACATATCTCGACTGAAAATTTGTTACATTTTATGCCATTTCTTCAAGATTCATTAATCTTTGTTTTTATATACAGCCACTCTAACGGATACATGTATATGTTATTTTGTTATATATTTTCATACAGAGTTGTTCTATATTTAGACATTGTAGAATACATTGACACAGACAGACAAAGCAATGAATAACAACTGTTCCTTTTGTCATTAATTGTATACTATTGAAGACGGTTTGCTATGAAGCTATTTCCATTTACCTTCCCCATGGACATGCTGGTCTGCTATGGTGGCATGGGTAGATTCAATTTCCCACCAGCATTGTAAAGGTTTACGTCAAGTTAACGACTTGAAGATAAACAGTTTAGAATGTGTGTATATGGATCTTAAAGAATTCATTTTAAGTTTTCACCTGACATCCTTGATTAAGGTTAACTTCTCTGGATCATCAAGTATTTCTAACAAAACTTCCACAAGTCTTCCTAGTTCGTGACTTTGATGATACTGAAACGTAGGCAATCATATAATATATATATAAAACATTTATAAAAGAAGAAGGAATTAAAATACAGTAAAAATCCTCAATTGAGATCACCATTGAGACTGGACCAAAGTGGTCTTAATTGCGGGGTGGTCTAAATTGTGGATATTCTTATCATTGTTTACATACTTTATGACCATGGTCCAGTTTAGTCAAAATGTATGAACAAATAAAATGTATCCAACCTGCCAATGCAATATAAAAGTATGTTATAATATAAAATATGATGGGAAGAAAATATATTTCTGAAGAAATTTGATATAAAATTCTCTTTTGTCTGATTTCAATATTAATTATTATATGATGTACATAATTCACCCATCAAATAAGAAATTAATTCTTCGCTTAGAGAAACATTAAACCACTCTAAAATGTACTTCCTTACCTTAGTTCATATAATAACAATTTTAATCGAGATTTGTAATGTATGGAAACATGTTTAAATGAATTCGTTATAAATAAATGAACAATTTTAATCACGAGTTAAGATATATTGAAAAGAAAAATTGAAATAAATGAAATCGCTATAAAGTTACAAAAAATTTAAACCATTTTGTGTGATATATTGAACAAAAAAAATGAAATCGCTATAAATTCAATTTTCACAATTATAAACTAGTCTACATGTATATGGAGAAAGAGAAATACAATTGCAATTTATTCACGATTTTTGACATATTTGATAAGTTTATTAAAAATTAAACTAATAATGTTGGTTAAATGTTGTTTTAACATTAGGAACATTTTAATTAATGATATATATATATTATACTAAACATGCCCTATGAAAAGATAGAGAACTTAAAGAAGAGAGACTTATTGTATAATTACATTACTAAGATAAACACTGGGGTAAATAAATCATTCAATATTACTTCAAAACTGGTCTGATTATTTATTAAATAGCGGGAAACACATATTTATATTATATTTTTATGAAATTACATTGACTTGTTTCTCTTGTGAGTTAATATACTTATCAGCTCATCACTATAAATACTGTGTGTTCTTTTTAAAAATTCATTCTCTTTGCATTATATAGATAAAATAAAATTTTTCTTCCGATTCCCCTGAATCATGTTTTGTAGTGAGCTGTAGTATGAACTAGAAAATCGTGTTGCTTAACATAAATCTAGCTTTACCATTATCCATTACCGCCATTACTCCGCCTTACCCTGGGGAATTAAACCTAAACATCCATCTCTGTATAGCCTTAATTATGAAAATAATAGGTCCTCTATCTAATATAAATTTAACATGAACCGCACGTTCAACTTTTGAGTATTCCCTTAACGGCTTAACAAATGAATTACAAATTTTATAAGCTATATAGTTCACTGGTGTGCTAGCTTTGAAAATTTAATATCTGTACATGAAAGGCGCATAGTGCTATACATAATAGCCATTTTTGAAATATTATCTTGATGTCGTATTGATTAAAATATTACCGGGGAAATTATATACATGTATTAGAGCTATAACACATGACTGAAATAGTTCTAGTAAAATAATAATGATATACGCAATAGGGATTTAAAGTTAACCCCAATTTTAAGATAAATTCGTCATTTCCTAGCCAGTTAAACTGTTGAGGAAGAACTGAATGAGATCTTTTACATTAAATTTTGCACATAACTGTATATTTATTTTAGAACAACAAACAATCCGGAAATTAAAGTCAAGTAAAATCAAAGCACAGAAGGTGCTGAATTTGTTTGGGTCTCAGAATGTCAGAAAGGTGAAGGTTGTGAGATTATAAACCAATTTGTTTTTGTATAGTGCCACCAATGCTGTTTCCAGTGTTATAACTGTAGTAAATTGGCTATAAGGGTAATTGGAACACTGATATTCAATTCAATGTTTATTTGGCTTTAACAATTAAAATAAGTTTGCCTTATCCGGGATTTGAACTCCAGATTTAACTATGTCGTTGATAAAAAACCGGGGAAATTTATAATGTATTAGAGATAACAGCTGAAAGTTAGTAAAATAATATATGCTAATTAGGGATTTGTTAACCCATTAATTAATTTCATGGTTTTGTTTGTTTGTTTGTTTCATTTTTACGTAAACCTGTTGATTAACACTGATGTACATAATCATGAAGCTTAATATAAGCATGTTTATCTGTAAAGAATAACACAATATTAGAAATCTTCGACCAATCGGAAACTATTTTTTCTTCCCCGAGAATGGCTTATAAATTAATGCGCCTGTCATTTGACAATCTTTACGCAGTGATTTCCCCTTAATTTTCCGGCGATAGTAATTTGGACTACTTTCGGTATTTGCAAATAAGCACATCAGGGTCTGAAATTTCGCTACCATTATTTGTTTGGTCTGACGACCCAAACAAATAAAAACCAGGGTCTGAAATTTCGCTACCATTATTTGTTTGGTCTGACGACCCAAACAAATAAAAACCAATAATCACTAATTATGAGAGAAAATGTGTTAAGAATGGTTAAGGAGCCAAAGTGAAGATAGTTTACTTATAAACGCATTCCGTGGTGAAACAAACTCACTTTTATTTTAAATGGTAGTAACTATGCACGATCATTTTTGCAAGAGAAAATAAGGAGAAATCACATTAAATGTGACACCGATCAAATCAGATCGACTGGTACTGACAAGGGATGGCCCGGTGCTGTCAGGACCTTGTTTGCTTACAAGATACACTCCTGTCGTCGCCAGCTGGCGAGAATCTTGAAAAGGTATACGAGTATTTAACTGCTAGCTGTTAAATCTTAGTATAAAGTTGCAACGAGTTAAACTGGCTCAGAAAATTTAAATTCTAAAGCTAACTGAATTGATTAGATAAAACAAAAGTGGAAAAGTTAAACGCTTAAAAGTAAGCTTGATTGTGTAGTTAAAAAGTAATTACTGATTTAATATGTCTTTTCACAGTTTTAAACTCGTCTTCAGTGAGGAGTTTTTCTGCGGCTTCTTCTAACATAGCCATATTTACACTATCTATCTTCTCCGATGTCCATTCGTGTGTTAGTCCTGTAGAGTATGCTGGAATATCTGAAAGTATTATATCTCTTGGTTATTCACATGGGTATACCTACACTGATAAATAATCTGTATGTAAATATACCAGCGTTGTTTATTCGCGAAACATTCGAAGACATTTTTTTCGTGAAGAATTTACATTCAGTTTTTAGAATTTTCAGATTTTAAGAAATTTCAGATAGTATTTCTAAAAATTCTAAAAACTGTAAAAAATATCTAAGAAATGACATTGAAACAAAATGATTATTTAGTTTTATTGATATTAAGACGTGTATCTTCTTACATACTAGATCAACCGATACACTTGGAAAATGTACACATCATAATGAACAGATTCACTAAAAATTACAATGTATATCGAAAATAAGTATTTTCTTAGCCAGATTTCTTAGTCAAATTTCAGTTACTTTGCTCAATAAAAAAATCACATTCAGCGAAAACTGATTGAACACATTATCTTAAAGTTTGCAAACAAGTTATAAATCTAGTTTTGATATATCCATCGAAAGTATTACGTTTTCTATTTAGTTTTGAAAAAAATACCTGTTGACTGCATTACACTTGAATCTTCTTTTTCTGAAATAAAAAAAAAACCCTGTGATATGACGTCTATACAATTAGGAATATTGTGTAAGTATACTGGTGTAACATGTATATCAAATAATTGCAGTTTATTTAATGTCGCTAAAGTAGAATTCAATTTGATAATTTGTCTACATTGTGAGGGAAATGGTGGCTAATTTAGGTGTTTTCTAGTCAACCAAAGTATTGTTGGTTCGATGCGTTCCACGACCATGGTTCCTAATATGATCATCATGATCGCGATATCGACCATTGATAAAATATATTCAAACTCACAGAAACTAAACTGTCATACATATGTTCATTATGGTCTAAAATATACTAAAAGACAAAAATACTTGAATGTCGTGGAGATCGCAACCGAAGACTTCCTTTAATTTTATTCTTTAATGACTTCCACTTTCCTTTTTTTCTGACACTTCCACTGTAGACACTGGTGTCTGTAATACAGTTTGAACATATGATATTGGTTTGTTAAATGATTGTATTTATTCATTTCATGTTGATCCTTAAAATACAACGTTTTGATTTTATCTTTTACTAAAAAAAAATCGATTTTGAAATCAGTAATTATCTCGAAATATATGTTCTTTTCTCAAATAAAAGTGGCGTTCATTTTCAGTTTAAATTAAACACGTGCGAAATAATCATCACATATAGTATATAAATCATATTTCTCGCCCGTGGCGTCAAGTTTGTATACACAATAAATAACATCTCAATTCAGTTTGTTCAATAAGAAATAGATCTACATGTATTAGTATATATTTCATACTCTGAGAAAAGTCTACATTAAACACTATAATTGCATGTTAAGTTTTTAAATCTTTAAAGTACATGTATACAATATGAAAGATAAGTTAACAGAAGAATCGACCTAGAAACTACATAATACGTAAAAAAAATTTTTTGTAATTACATGTTTAACTGCCACTGGCTGATTTTTACCTGGCCCTTTTTCAATTTTCAGGGTAAATGATCAATTTTAAAACCGAAGTTGCGTATATATTAACAGTATTAACGGGACTCCACAAAGTTTTTTTTGACAGGGACTGGAAATAATTTTTTGAGATTAATGATCAATTTGATGGACGTAGGTCAGGACAAAAAAACATTTCAGATTATTCATTCACTGCGTTTTTTTCCGGAAAAAATTCTTATTATTGAAATGTTGCAAGACTTTGCTAAAAATAGCACAATAATAAGATTATCAATTTATATCTGATTATATTTCTTAAGATACCCTTTGCATATCTTTCTGCTTTAAATGCATCTGCTGATCTGAGAAATTCAATTGTATGCTTTTTAGACTTTTGAACCTTAGTGGAGCTCCTTTAAAGATTTTTTACAGGTTATATGACCCGGTATAAAAGGTTATATAACGTGATTAGCTAGACGTAGGTTATATATCAAATAACTGTTTATACACGGTCAAACCTTAATACTACACTCACAATGGTGTTGGGAAATTGAAAAGTATATAACTCATAAATTTACACTAACCACCAAAAAACAAATACATGTCACAACCATCCAACGAAATCGACGGACATTGCTTTAACTTATATTTATGAGTAAGTGCATAGATGTTATTTGAACAAAAAACAAACTGCATTGTGTTGTGATTTGGGGTAATGTGTAACAAAGTGACACTACAGCTGTACATTCAATGTCTGATGAAGGAAATAATTTTGTTACCATCATTACTAAAGTCGTCTGTAATTATAAAACATTATAACACAATTTAACCATTGTTTTCAACTGCAAACTGTAACACTCACTGACCCAGTCCTCGCGTTGACTTTAGAAAACGTTTTACTCATAAGGAATGGATTCTCAAATAAGTTAGGATTAAATTAAATGGATATTTAATAACATGAATATTCTATGATATGAATATTCATTGACATGAATATTTAATACATGAATATTTATTGGCATGAATATTTAATGAATGGAAAAGGAAAAGTATGAAAGGGACAAACCTCGATCCTCGTTTCTGTCCAAAGTATTCAACTCTTGTAAACCAATATTTGTTTGTCTTTCGTTTAATTCTTTTAGCCTTTTTTCAAGAGCATCTCTGTCCATATTGTTTTCGTCAGGAATGTTTGAGCCGTAATTGTCGTATGAGCTTGACGGAGCGGCTTGAGTTTGTCTAGCCTGAACTGAGAAGATAGCTTCTTCCGTGTTCCTTGTTGGGATAGAATATGGGCTTGTCAAATCATACGAGCCTGCTCCGTGTTCCTCTTCACTGTCACTGTTATGATTATCAGCATAACTCACACTTTTTCGTCTGCTATGTAAGTTTTCCTCTGAATGAACTTTAAACTCCAGACTCGCGAAGTTTTTACTAGTATCACTGCCTTTCGTGCTCTGATTGGAATCAAATATACTCAAAGACGATCCGGTTAAGTTCTTAAAAGAACCGCCACTAAGCCTTCTTATGGTTGAATAAAGCGCACCATCAATACTAGGAGTAACAGAATGAAGATCTTCGTTAGATGAGCTTGGTCTGTTGTCAGTTCCTTTGTAAGATCTTTCAGAAGCAGAATCTTGTTGAGACGACACGTGTGTGACACTTTTGTAAACAGTGTTTACTTCCGATTTTTGTTTTTCTTCATCGGTATGACTTATAACATTTAACCTACTAGTTGAAGCATATCTTTTATCACGCTTGTTTATCTTGGCATAAATCATATCTGGTCTATCATACTCCTTTTGCAAATGGTCATCCATATGATCTTCTATATCATCAGCGTTATCATGATCATCGACAGTATCATAATCAGGTGGAATCTCGGGCTGGTTTGATCGAGTCACTTTATGAATATATGTACGTTTCTTCTTTGTTTTATGAATATGATTTTCTTTGTCAGCATCGTCTTCATCGTTGACGTAAGCTTTGTTTTCACGTCCTATGTCTTCGTCTTGAATATCTTGCGCCCACTGATCCAGATCAATAAGACTATCTGAATCATCGTCAGTGTTCATAAGGTGTATGTTATCATTACTTGATCTACTGGTACCAGCTTTTTGAGGTTGCTGTTCACCTGGAAGGAATATTTCACTATGTATGGCGCTTGGTTTTCTCCTGCTCGAGAATAAGTCTGCAACACTTTCGGCTCGACTCGGAACCTCGTTCTCAACGTGAATGTCTTGTAGACTCATTGTACTCGATCCTTAAATTATAGAACATATTTTGTTCTTACAAATTCAGTTATATCAAATATTTTTGCTGTGAAATAAAATGTCAATTTAAACTAACATGCTTAAATTTAGGTGTTTTTTTTCATCATGTTATTTTTTATACTATAAGTAAATTTAGGTAAAGCCTACAAATATTTTCTTGGTTACTGTTTTAACAGTTCTTTTCTAAGGCTAATCCTCTCTGTTTTGTCAGTTTATCATTTTAGTCAGAAAAATACATCCCTCGTGAGTTTGATATTACAAACCTTGTCTCAAATGTCCATCACTCCATGTGTACTCCGCATATAATTCTTTATACACAGGAAAACGACCCATATCCTTAATAAAATAATAAAAACGCAGTAAAAATTCAAATGTAAATGTATATGCAGTAAAAATGTTAATAAAACGTTTAAAATTACACCGTTTGTCTAAATTAAGAACAGAAGTCTGAAAAGACAGCAGAATAAACGGAAAATATGTTTCAATACAATGAAAAATAAATTTTTCACAGTGAAAATACGGAAACAGGAAAAACGCATATTTTCAAAAATATGTCGTTTATAAGTATAAAATAAACTTCACTTATTAATCACACATAATATGTAAAATATTACATTAATCTTGAAACTTTTTACTTTTTATTTCATTGAAATATTTTGACTCCTCTGGAGACATGTAGCTTTAATATAAAAATACGGTTATAGCGAACACGGTTATAAGGAATTATCGCTTATTAGGAACTCATTTTTAGTCCCAATTTAGTTAAATGTACAGGAAATTACACTTTATAACGAGCTGATCCGTAAATAGATCAAGCATAATAAGTCCTATATTATAAGCGCTTTATTACAAATGCTACACGACAAGTTTTATATTAAAAGTCTCACACGTTAAAACGTATTAAAGTCCTACCCGTAGTGTAAGAATCAGATGTTTCTTTCCTTTTAGGACCTCCACGGCATGTGCATGTGTGATGTTTTCAAATGGAATACCGTTCACATCAATAATCTGGTCTCCAATTCTGACACCATTTTTCTCGGCAGGGCCACCGCGGTCAACTCTGAATAAATACATGATGAATTAAACATAAAATTATGTGTCCCCACCTAGGGGTTGACTTTGATAGTTTGGTATAGCTTGGTATTTCTTGATAAAGATTGGTATTTTATAGCGCAGAGTTTTAATAGTTAAATTCGTTTCTGGGTTAAAATTCAAACAAAAATTATATAACGAAATGCAAAGGCTTACTTACTTTGAAACATATATTCCCAAACCATATTCTCTCCCACCTCTAATATTGAAACCGAGGCCACGGTTAGCCTTCCCGAATTTTAGACTGATCCTTCTTTCTGGAACCTCGACATCTAGTCCACGGATACTGTGGCTGATACCACATTCTTCAAACTCTCCCGATATCAACTTCTTATCATGTATGTCGTACCTGTCATACAAAGTATAAATACCAAACTATATAATGCTCATGAAGTTAGAAGTCTGGCTGCATGGAGAAACACCGGAGTTTGTAGCCTACATATTGGAGATAGTATTTAAGCAGCACGGCTGCATGAAGCCTAGCAACATGGTATTAGTATTTAGCCAGCAAAGATGCCTGTAGCCTAGGCGCATGGAGTAAGTATTTTAGCAGGACAGCTGCCTTAAGTCTAGCAGGCAGCAGCATGAAATTGAAACTTAGAAAAAAGAACAACCAGGTAGAGTAACAGTCTTAAGTATGAGATTCGTAGCCTAGCAGTATGAAGTTGGAAGCATTTCAGTCCACCAATCTAACAGGTTAATGAGTTAGTAACATAGCAGACGCACAACATGGCTACCTAACTTCCTCGCAGCATTAAGCTCTAGTCTAGCTTGCTATAAGCTTTCATGAACTGCATTTAAATCATACTTTATGAGTATAAGAAATATTAGAAGAGGAACTCTTAAAAGCAACCATAAATTTAAATAAAATTCACTTGTTGCAAAAAAAATTCTCCTATTAGTAAAAGGAGATAACCAATATTAAAGTCTGTCATGTAGCTTAAAGAGTCACTTCCCTTTATTTCCAAAAAAAAACTAACCATGATGTTTTTTCTCTTGATAGTCTCCATTCTGGAACTTTCCTGGTCCTCTGAACGACAAGTTTGAGCCGGTTTGAGCCTGTGAGAACCTTGACAGCACTGCTGCTTGCCACTCCACGAAGACTAATATTGTTTGCTTCAAGAATTTTGTCTCCAACCTCTATTCCTGCTTTGCCTGCCAAAAAAAAAGAAGAAGAAAAAATATCAAAGAAATCCTTCTATTGTGATAGATACGGAAATTATTTGACAAATTTTCAACTGTCCAGCCTTTTGGTTTAGTTTCAAGCCACACCAACATAAATAAGGTCATATGGGGATTGACAGCTTTAACAAATACCCCCATGCATTATTTCCGGTACGAGCGGGTACCTGAGAAGAACCACCGACGTTCCTATCATAAAAAATCCAAGGTCCCTGGCAGGATTCGAACCAATGCAGCGACGGGCAATTGATCTGAATGTGTTTCTATTACATTGAAATAAAAAAAAACAGTAGCAATATGTAAAATAATGTACTTAGACGTCGTAGGACGTATGTTTGTCATTTTCAAGGTTTGTAAAAGTTTGGTTCTTTAAACTAGTAATATACCGACCGGAAGTTGATATAACAGGGAACCCTACTTCGACAATAACGCTGTCAAAGCGTGTTTTATTTCGTCAGCTTTGTAGGGCGATTGTCGATTTGTTGCTTTAAAACTAAAAAAATAAAACTAAGAACAAACACATTTATATCCGATTGTATGCATCCTGAGCATTACTGCTATATATCAAACCAGAATTGTGACCGAAACATCAAATATTTTAGACATTTCTAACTTAACTCATCGCCAGACGTTGATCAAATTTAATATACTAAATAAAGATAAATGTTCACAACTTGTACCTGCTGCACTATCATCTTCAATTTCACTGACGTAAATTCCGAGGCCGTGTTCCGAGCCTCCGCGTACACAGAATCCGAGGCTCGGTTCATCTTTCTCTCTGAGAACCGTAAATACCCTCACATCTTTGACGTGTCTACCGCTACCAATTGTACTAGTACTCGCCTCTGATCTGTGATCTACAATGATATGATATATTTTGGTTTCGTTTCAGATTGTCGTACGTAAGTTTTTCACTTAAGAACTGCCTAGATTTGTATGATAATGCTCTTATTTAGTCCATGGTAGTAATTTTTCTTTATACACATGTTTTAGGCTGTGCACTAATAGAGTAATTTAGTTTAACATTGATTGCTGTTTTCTTTTCTTTGCGAATGATAGTGTTTAAATCAAATGTGAGATTAACGGATGCCAAGTTTGAGTTATACACTTGGCAGATTTGAGCACCAACTAGCATATCCTATTTTGGCATTAAAAGCTGCAATAAATATTAATGTAATTTTAAATATAGATATCAACCCCAGTTTGAATTTAAAATGTATTGTTTTATTAACGTTTCGACTTAAAAGTCTTCATCAATTATACATGTTTACACGAAATGACTTCAACGTCATATCAAAATATGACTGTAATAGAAAATGACCAATTTTCATTAATCGTTACACAGTAAAAATGGTTAAACAACTTAAAAACGATGTATGAATTGTATCCGATATTATTACTTAAATACTCGATAGTATCGAATCTGAAATGACGAGAGTCTCCAGTAAGATTTATAGCATTTTAGACTTTAAGAATGTTTTATATGAATAAAATACGATATTCAGATTCACGTTATCACTTGATCAAATATTTACAACTATCTTGGCTATTACTGTTATTATAACATAATGTAAATGTTGTAAATAAATACAGAATAGTTATGTAAAAAAAGTGACGCCATCTGATAAAGGAGACTAAAATATTCAAAGGCAAGTATTAAGTAATACCTTACAAATTGTTTGAGTTATTCATTGAGTTAATGTAGTGTAAAACTGTTTTTCATAGATTTCCGTTTCCAGTTCCAAAACATCTGTCGCATTCGTTCGATCTTATACACTTTCCACATACGTCTTTTTTTTATCTGTCTTTTGTTTATTTTCATCAGAACATAACCGATTAAACATGAAGACAAATGTTTCGTATTCATGGTTACCATAGTTTCATGACGTCGTTTTATCGGGTATGGGGTTTCAGAACAAGACATTTTAAAGCGATGGTCAAAATTGTTAAATGTAACATAATTATGAATCTTACAGGGTTGATATGATCAATACTGCGTTATTGTATTGTACAGATTTAATTGATTTGTTTTAAAACATTTTAATTAGTCCTCACAATTTGACAAGGTTTAAATATGGAACAAGGTGTAGGTGTCTGTTTATTCGAAAAATAGAAACAAAGTCAAAACACGTATTTGTTATGAAATGGTAACTACGAAAGGCCGGTAGGGACATTTTCTCATCATGAATTCATCAATTTACGATTACAACATGTCAGGATTTTATCATTTTATACTTCAGTATTTCACGTATTCACCTTCACAAATTTACGATTTCAACATTTAAATAGCGTAAATGACATATCGCCTTTCATATATATATAACATTGTTAATTTATATCATTCAATTTCAAAAACAACAAAATCGCTATCACTAACACCATCATACCTCTACTTCTACCACCACCATCATCGCCCCCAACAACAAATTTATGAAAAAAATGAGAACATACCAGAAGTGGACGGCTTCTTTTGAACCCTCATACTATATATTCCTTTTGATTAATGAGAGGAAAGCTTAATTTCCGGATGTGTAAATATCATTTCCCCAAAAAGGCAACAACTAACGTTCGCTTTCATTGTTTTCTTGTAATTACGGGTAGGAAGAAAAGTACTAACTCCTCAATTGCTTTAAATAATTGATGAAGGCAAGAATCTTACAGGCTTGATATGATCAATACTGCGTTATTGTATTGTACAGATTTTATTGACAGACTGACATTTATTTCATTCGTATGAACAATGAATCATTCTTTGCTGGACTTAAATGTTATAAGAGCGTTTATATTAATAGCGTTTATGTTCTTTCACTGATAGTCCTGCTCTGCTTTAAATTGGGGCCTAATAGTGAGACTCATAGTCTGGTTAGTATATGTGCTATTGGCCGGGTAATTTATTCATATTGATATTAAAAAGTATTCCCTAAAGTCGTTCGAATTAAAATATGAACTTTGTCGGTAAGTTGCATTTGCCCTTCCCTATTTAAAATATTTACTATTAGTAGTATGTCTTATATAAAGGGGGACGGTACTCTTTACTTACCAGGTATTTGTAAGAGATGACCTTTTCTTTTCCGACGACGACGCCGACGGTGAAATTTCATATGGAATTGAGTTAATTTATCAAATTCATCGAGATGGCCTTGCCAAACAAAATATCTAACATATTTGAGTAGTTCTAATTTTACGTAGGTCCTAAGAAGTAGGTCTAGACCGACGACTAAACGCCTGACGTCACGACGTCGTTGGTAATCCTTTAGAATTTTATATAATATGAGTCTTTCTGGTTTGGAAAATAATATGTGAACCAGTTCGTTAAATTCGCGCATGCGCTGTTTACGTAGAGTAGTTTCGTCGTCATCTTCCACCTCTATAATGACCGTCCCTGTTTCCTGCGTAGTCATTGCTATTTTCACAAGTTTTTATCTTTGTTTTCTTTTTTTTCGATATTAACAAGTAAATATCCGTTGCTACATAAATTTAATCCAATCTGTAACAGACATTTGTTTTGGTATTACTTTGATACAGAGTTTTACAACCATTTAAGTTAGAAAGCCGGACGACCAGTGTATATATCACAATCAATTACACACCATGAGATGTAACAGTTGTTAGTTACCCAACAATGATTACAGATCTACCTGTAAATATGTCTCATCTTAAAACAATGAAAATTCGATAATTTACGTGCAACGTGTTTTATATTCACTACCTCCATATTAGATTGATTGATGTAAATCTATGTATGGCCGCCACATACATGTAAAATATGATGAAGGTAGACCAGATGTTGACAGCACTATTAGTCAGTTTATTGATTCCTACATGGGACGTTTATTTATACAGTCAAACACGAGTCTTAGGCTACCTCGAAATTCAATAAATCTTCCAAAATGTGATACCACGAGGACTATATACCGACATGTAAAGGTCGTAGAGCTCACAATATGTCTTTTGTTTTAATAATGTCAATATATTATGTCATTAATTTGATAAAATATCTATGTGTACAGTTCCTCAATATAATGTTCTTATATTTGTTTTTCCAGTCAGATTTGCTCATTTTCTTGCACTAAAATCGTCCATGGCGACCATAAGTTCGGCGCGTTGATTGGTCAATACCCCCAGGCCCCACCCCCTTACCCACTCTACAACCCTCCTACCTCTCAACTATGTAAACTGCAGTATTTTTCATTTGAAACATGTTTTAATTTTTGGTATATGCTTTTAATTCAATTTCCTTCATTCAACCCCCCTCCCCCCCCCCAAAAAAAATAAAATAAATTAATAAATAAAACAATTGAGACATATATTATTTAGTAAAGGAATGCAACTCGCCGCTCATTTTTCAGCACTCATCTTAATATGAACTCCATAACTCCAACATTTTTTCAGCAATTTTCAAAATTGTGGTACCAAACGGTGGGGTATAGATTACTCTTACAGGAAATAAAGGAAATAAAGCTGTCATTACAATAATTTCAAGTTATAAGAAGATATGTAATCTCGAAGTCACCTCAAGTGTAAGTAGACAGAGACCTGACCGCTAGGTTTTTGTCAAATTACCCGACTAAACATGGTTTTGAGAGGTAGAAGGGTTGTAGAGAGTGGCTGAGTGGTGTGTGTGTGGGGGGGGGGGGGGAGGGGTGGGGCCCGGGGGTAGTGACCAATCAACGCGCCGAACACCATGATTAAGATACGTATTTAAAGACGATTACACACATTGTGCCGAGTCTGTCGCACACTTTCTCTACTCTTATCAAGCAAATATTAAATGAAAACACCAGTGTGACTATGATATATACAAAATACATTTTTAGTAATTTAAAGATGTACAGAGAAATACACTGAAACAAAACTGTGGAATTCATTCCATTTGGCGATAATGTATCCAAGTGATATATCCAGGAAATCTCTTTTAAAAGTCTTTTCCAATGACGTATTATTTAATTTATCAATTGGCATAAAAGAGTAATCCTGGATAGTATGTCCTTGGATATTTAAATGTTCAGAAAGATTTGTAGTTGTTTCAGGACACTGGTTTATATAAAACCTGTAACTATTCATACGTTGAGGACATTTATGTACCCCGAAGAAGTCTGTTCAGTCGTAAAGTTGGTATTCAACAATTTCAACTTCAACTGATGTTGACTACATTTTTAATTTATAATATCTACCCTTATCAGACATTTGTTTTGACTGGAGCGTTTTGCATAAATTAATAGTTCTGTTTACTTGTATTCAGTTCTGCATATTTCAGTTTGTGAAACTCGCATTATTAACTGCATAACTTTGTTTGTAAGTGAAAGTAAACTATTATATTTTCGGTTGATTTGATTCTTTAATTTGCATACTTGATATAGTTCAAATGTCGAATTGTCATTTATATTATTGTGTATTCATTATTATACATATTATTCTTGTAGTATTTGATTCATTTATAACATTAAGGGGTTTACCTATACATGTAGATGTTTTAATTTATTTATAACTGCATTTGAATTATCTATAGCTGTGTTTCATTTATTTAAAACTACTTTTGACTTTTTATAACTGCGTTTCATATATTCAAAGTTGTTTGTTGTATCTATTTATTTATAACTACACATTATTTATCTATAGCTGTATTTGATTTATTTGAAGCTGTATTTGATTCATTTATTCCCTGCGGTCTGGAGACCGCAGGGTATTGGTACGCGTTTAACTTTTGAGGCATGGAGGAGCACGTGACCTGTTTTCGGTACATGGAGGAGCATGTGATCTATAAACCGTACATGATTGGTTAATTGACCTTTTCGAAAACCTGGCTAAATACCGTTTGCCGGTACGTTACGGATTTACCTCTAGGGAATAAGTCAGAATTACACCTAATTAAGAACAAAAAACGATTACGTAAGGTGTCCTTATCGTGCCATTTAGAATGTCGTCCGTCGCGTCTAAGGGTAGACACACGACAATGCGAAGTGACATCGCGACAATGCGAAGCGACGCTCGACAACGCGAAGCGATATGCGACAATGCGAAGCGACGCTCGACAGTGTCAAACGATATGTCGCACTGTCGCCTAGAAATGTCGCGGTAAAAAAGGGCGACATTTAAGAAATGTCGCTTCGCGTTGTCGAGTGTCGCTTCGCATTGTCGAGCGTCGCTTCGCGTTGTCGCGATGTCACTTCGCGTTGTCGCGATGTCTCTTCGCGTTGTCGCATTGTCACTTCGCATTGTCGAGTGTCGAGGTTGGTAGAAGTGCATACCACGACACTCGACAATGCGAAACGACAACGCGACAATGCGATACGACGCTCGACAATGCGAAGTGACACTCGACATCGCGAAGCGACATTTTTAAAATGTCGAGTAAATGTCGCGTTATTTTTATGATTTTTACACCGCGACGCTCAACATTGCGAAGCGACACTCGACAATGCGAAGCGACACTCGACAACGCGAAGCGATACTCGACAACGCGAAGCGACACTCGACAATGCGAAGCGACATTTGGAATAATATCGTATCGCATTGTCGTGCGTCTACCGGTGCTTGGTCAGAATTTACTAACTCACCGACAAACGGTGCGATCATGGAAGGGGTCGCACTAAACTGCTGACGAATTAGCTGACGATATAGATATATAGGAAACTGCTGACCAGTTAAATAAAGAAGGATTATCGGAAAATGCTGACCAGTTACACAAAGAAGGGAAACATTGAAGGTGTGAAGTTATATAAACACGCCGTAGGGGGTAATAAAAAGATGGGAAATTACTTTTATTCTTTTAATTATATTTTTAATTTTTGCATTTATATGACTATGTTTATAAACTAAATTAATATATACATTTAAAGTACCATAATATCATACATTTTAACACGGATTTACATTACTACATGTAATATAAATCCGTGATTTTAAAAGGATATATTAAACAGCTTTTTATACCTCTAAAGATATGCAAAAATTTGAATTAATGTTTTATAAATGATGTTATGAGTTTTATCAAAATCTCTTGTTAGTGATATTTCAATAGAAAAATCTTGTAACGGAAAAAAATGTATTTTCAAAAGCAATAATTGCAATTTGAATTAATATTAAATAAGTCAGCAGTGTTTTAACTTAATTAAATGTCGACAAAATTTTATACAATATATTGATTTTCGTACATTATAAAATGAATTAAAATTTCACGACAAAATATATTTTTTTCTATATTTCTAACTGGTCAGCAGTTTCCCTATATATCTAACTGGTCAGCAGATTCTACTACATGTGTATATGTTTAACTGGTCAGCATTTTCTCGCCTGAATGTGAAAGAGCGTTAAATTTGCTGACCATATAGAATAAGAAGAGTTTTACGGCTTAAATCAATTTGAATTAACATTAAATTGGTCAGCAGTGTTTTTACTTAATTAAATGACGACATGATTTTATATAATATATAAAATTTGCATACATTATAAAATGAGTAACAATTTCACGGCAAAATATATATTTTTCTATATTTCTAACTGGTCAGCAGTTTCCCTATATATCTAACTGGTCAGCAGATTCTACTATATGTTTAACTGGTCAGCATTTTCTCGCCTGAATGTAAAGAGCGTTAAATTTGCTGACCATATAGAATAAGAAGACTTTTACGGCTTAAATCAATTTGAAATAATATTAAATTGGTCAGCAGTGTTTTTACTTAATTAAATGTCGACATAATTTTATAAAATATATTGAATTTGCATACATTATAAAATGAATTACAATTTCACGGCAAAATATATTTTTCTCTATATATCTAACTGGTCAGCAGTTTCCCTATATATCTAACTGGTCAGCAGATTCTACTATATGTTTAACTGGTCAGCATTTTCTCGCCTGAATGTAAAGAGCGTTAAATTTGCTGACCATATAGAATAAGAGAGTTTTACGGCTTAAATCAATTTGAATTAACATTAAATTGGTCAGCAGTGTTTTTACTTAATTAAATGTCGACATTATTTTATAAAATATATTAAATTTGCATAATGAGTAACAATTTCGTAGCATTTAAATATATTTTTCTCTATATATCTAACTTTTCAGCAGATTCTACAATATGGTCAGCATTTTAATAACATATTTTTGACTGTTTATTGTATTTTGTCATAGATAAATCAAGAATGACACGTCGCGTGTGAAATCGATTTTAATACGACCTTGGGGCATATCGATCTCGATAAATTATCAGTTTAATGGATATCTGTGGAAACATGTTGTTTATAATGTAATAAAAGCTTATTAACTATAACAATTAGCACATTATTAATTTTTGTTCAATATTACTTATACAATTATACGAACAACAAATAAGGAAACAGAAATCACTTTATTTCATATTTGCACTAAATACGACATAATAATTATATTTTGTTAAAATATACATTACGTATATGTACATGTATATATTTTAACCTATGATGCA